GCATTATTAAATTTAAGTTTTATATGTAAAAGTATGTCCATAAATTCATCTCTTCCTTAATTACATTGTTCTTACATTCTTAATTGTCCTTTTTTATTACAAAGAAATAAATTTCAGAGGATCTTTTGTCAGGACTATATTAAAATAACTAAAAAAATATTTTAATTATATAAGGCCGCTTTTATCAATCAATAAATATTACGTGTCTTCATTACTATGGTATCGTAAATATTTCTATATAGGGTAAATTATATAAAAATTATTTTATTTTTTATTTTTCACTGTCAATATAGGAATTTTAATATAGTTAAAAGCTTAAGTCTTTTATGAAAATTTACCATTTATTAAGTCACATAAAATGTATTTACTTATATAAGTATATTCTTACAGACTTATTTCATTGCGAAATGAAAATTCTATTTAATTGATCTGGATGCTAATAATATTGGAATTTTTTTTTCTTCATATAAACAGAAGAAATTTGTGATATGTCTAATATAAAAGATTATATTACTATATAATGTCAGTATAAAGTAATAGTACTTTAAAGTACATAGCTTAACTTAAGCAAGTGGATTTACCTCATTAGAGTATAAATTATTTAGCAATTTTGAAACATTTCAAGCAATTGATCTTTTATATATCCAAATAATAGTTTCCGGATATCTAACAGCATATTATAATAGTTAAGTTGTCCGATAATGTACTTTCTGTGCAATTTTAACTATTAGAATTTGTATCGTGTCGTTAACTAATACAAAAAATTGTGGAAACTTTCATTTGAACTTTTATCTATTATATTTAATTAAGATAATTATTTTGCTTCAATGGCTTGTAAAATAAAAGAACAGATTCATTCTAATTATCGTTACAGTGTTTTTTTGTTCATCCTTTCTATATAAGGATTTAATTAATGTACAATAAGCTTCAGAAATTCATAGATAATTAATTATCGACGAGAAAAAAGGAATAAATTTTTACTGGAAAACGTTTTAATTGAATACGTCACGAAGAAAAGATGAGATATACACTGTAGTGCTTTTTTTTATATTCTTCATCTTTTTCTATTAGTATCAAAGCATATATATATAGTTCCTTCATTCAAGTATTTGTATATAGCCAAGTGTTATGGGAACTTTAAAAAAATAAATTAATCCCTAGACATACCTGTTAAAAATCAATGTTCAGTAATTTCTTTAATATTCATTTTATTAAAAATGTCTTAAATATTCATTCTAGTTAACATCAAGTAGCAATCGATATAATAAAATTATTAAATCTTTTAACGATTACATTCAAATTGAGGATATATAAATTATTAATTCAGAGCTATACTTTTTTCATTGCTTAGATATTTGAATTTACTTTGCTTTAATTTCAAATATTATTACTATTATTCACTGTTATTTCTCTCTTGTTTTCCATTAAAGAATTATAATTATAAATTTATATATACATATTTAAATTAATTTAAATTTATTATTGGATTCGAGATTTGTAGAATACAGAATGTATGTCGGACCAATTCCGATATTCATATGTTAGATAATTATTAGTTGATTATATTTTCACGCACTGTATTAATTGAGTTTTCCAGTAGTTATGGAAAATCACTATTGTTCATAGATAATAATTGCATCATCTCTTGTAAATTTATTAATTCAATTGAAAAAGAAACTTTGTATACTGTTATTATTCCTATCGATCTCCCCCTGTTTGTGTTATATTCTTCTATCCATATTCTCTCATTATTATACCATAAAAAATACATATTTTGTAAGAAAAAAATAATTGTAACAATAATGTGATTGGAAAGATAGTATTTATTAGATAAATACCAATAGAAACAATATCGGTAGAAATAACAGAGTAGAATTTTACTTGTAGTTCATCAAATTTTATCACATTTTATTAGTATTTACAACTATTTTGGAATAAAGTCTAAACGAATTAGCATAAATCGCATTTATCGATAAAACATAAAATATTCAATGGAGTATATTTTCAAAAACATCGCGTCCTACAAAAGAAGCTTTAATGACTCGTCGTCTTTCGTTTTATCGGATATCCTAAAACTATACTTTAAACAATCCAATTAGTATTTAAACATATTTGATATAAAGAATAATATAGTTTACATAGTTAAAGTTTAGTGGGCACAATAGGAGTAAATTAGTAAAAATATTGTTATTATTATGATATTCATCTTATAGCAATATATATTACAATAATGCATTTTAAATTAATTATTAATCATTTGGTCCCATAAATAATGGATTATATTTCAAAGATAATATGCAATATACAACTATAAGGAGAAATATGATTTTTCATAATCCTATAAGCTTCAATATTTTATATTATGTAGTAAACAATTCATGTTGTAAATTTATATTTATATGCCTACTAAATGTCCCTTATTAACTTTCCCATTACTTTAATCACTTACGGCTATATATATTTTTTATAAAATATGACCAGCACCTACTAATTACAGCTGTAATATGTATAAGATGTTAATTAAGAGCAGTTGGTCGAGTGAGAGCGAGAGAAATAGTGTGAATAATGCGCCTAAAGGAGTCGAATATCAATAGAAGGATGTAATTGGAAGGCACCACAGGTCATTTTAATTTTGAGGCGTCCGCATGTGGTGTTGAAAAAATCATTTTTGAATACGCGTGACTTAATTTATATCTACGAACAGTGTTTTCTTCTAATTAATATACGAATATTTAGCATTTTAATTTAGAATACAAATGGAGTTTATGCTCATTGATGTATCCTTTTTAGTCTGTAATGAATAATAAACTCCACCAAAATTGAGTATATAATAATAATTAGTTTATCAATAATTATTTATTGATGTATTACAATTCATTTCGTTCAGAGCTGTAATTTATACATTTGTGCTTTGATGCAATGCAATGCATTAGTATTATACAACAAATTCCTATATTTATCATTTAAAACAAAATCTCATTAATATTATTATACGAGATAATTGGATGTAAGTCGTGATTTATAAATGGATTTACTATGTACAGTTTAAAATTTAAAATAATTGAAGGTTGCTTAAAAACAAAATTAAATATGATGAATTGTTTCAATAATGAATAATAATAGACACTTTTTTTTTATATAGAATATAAAATATAATATATAAAAATATCTAATCCACATTACGAGTTTTGAAAATACATTTATTTTATTGAAATAAAGAAAACAAGGATGTGCAATATAATGTTCTGCAATTATGATTATTGAATATTAGTAAGTCGAACATAATAGTAAATATTAAGAGTTTAAATTACTTAAGATTTAATAAACACGTGAATCAAACAATTGACCTGTCGTAATGACTGCCCTGTCATAATATCTAATTAACGTTCAGTCAGTTGAGATATTGAAAAATATCTCAAGTCCCCATTTCTTTACAGTTACTTTAATTCCTCAAAAATTGTACGATTGTCGTCTATATGCATATTGCATGTATACGTGTATGGGAGCCATAGTGGCTACAGTGGATCAAGGCTGCCCGAAAACCACAGCTTTGCGGTCTTGTTAACTCTCTGGTGCAGTCAGAACGTAGTTGCAACTAAATTGCTCGTGAATTCTTCGCTAGTGCAAAAAATAAAAAAAAAAAATAAAAAAAAAAATAAAAAAAATACGATTAGAAAAAAGTTTTTTGTTATTTAGCTGTAAGCTTGTGAACGATTTTCTTTTTTCCTATTTTTTATTTTTCATTTCATTAAAGATGTTCGTGGATTAAGTGTTTACATGTAAACCTGCGAACGACAACCAAGCTTACTTATTTTTGAGCTTGACAAGTTCACTAGAAAATCGATTGCTGGTTGATTGTTCCATTTACTATTAAGTAATTTCTTTTAAGTTTTTCAGGCACTATTTTTGACAGAAATTTTTGGACAAATATCTTTGTAAAAGAATATAGAGTTAAAAATGAAATTTAATATGAAAGAAATTTCAATTAAAACGGAAATAGACTTTTATTTTAGTATGTATCTATTATACACGTAGAATAATGAAATTACCATACTAACTTATATTACAAGTAATAATTAAGACATTCTTTTAAACTTTTAATTGATAAGAAGGTTAATTTTAAAACATTATTATTATTTAGTGAAGGTACTTTTAATAAATCAGTCAGGTTACAATTCGTCTATTTAAATGGACATTTATTCTGTGTATGCGTATGTATATTAAAGCAGATAATAATAGAAATAGTGCATATTTATATTATTTTCTATAATGCTCAATTAAAGCCATTAATTTAATATAAATTATTTCTATTTATTATTATTATATATATATATATATATATATATATATATATGTGTGTGTGTAATTTGATATGATAATATAAGTAATTAGCAGTATTATTCAAAGATTAGAAATGAAATTTCACAATTTTTATTAATATAAAATATCAAATATATTATTATAATTGCCATGATAAATACTAGAGGATGTAGAAGCACATTTATTCAATGATTTACGTAATTATTTAAATATTTTTTTATTCAATATACTCGATATTTTTCTATTAAAAAGTAGTTACTTTAAGATAATATAATAAAAGTGAATAATAAAAGCCCATATAATAACTGTTTAATAATTTAAATATCATTTATTAAAAAATTTAATACTATTATAGCGATAGTCTCGAAATATTGATAGTTCACTAGTGACGATCTAACGTAACGATCCAGAGTAATTTGAAGAACCAGAATGTTATTTGTAATGTGATTGCTGCATTTAGACATAAATTCTTACAACATTTTTTCTTCAATTAAGAACCGAGAGTCATCTACGCTACAATATTTCAGCAAATCCATAAACAATTGACTGATAGTGCAATTTATATACGCGCCTGATAGAAAAATCCAATTTGTTAGTCAGTGATGAATGTATTCTTCAAAAAAGTAAATCCTTTTGCCAATGATGAAACGAATCGAAAGGCGGATTTGAAAAAACTTTACCTCTTTATCGCCTAGCTGATAGACTCTGCAATGCAAAAAAGCCGTTTGACCAACGGCGATCGTGACGTTTCGAGCGACGTTTGTCTCAAATTGTGGCCAGCCGGCAGTATTCTTCGTCGCTGTCATAACCGACGTACCACCGATGCCGTTGCCCAGAAACCTGTGATCCCGCGTGAAAGCTCCTACAATCAAAAGCGAAACAAAATCTGTAAAATTTACTGCTTTATCCGTTAGAGATCAAATATCGATGTAATAGCTGTATTTAAAAAAGGAAAGAAAAAAAAAACAAAGAAAAAAAAAAATAATATTTTTTTTATCCAGAAGGTCTTTTGGTAATATTGTACAATTATTTTCAAATACGATAAAACAATTTAAGAACATAATTATTAGCTTTATTTATGATTAATGGAAAACTTTTGACTATTTTCGCGTATAATTCTTGTAAAATATTAATTCGCATTGATTCGATATGAATCAAACATAACACGAAAAAATAAATATTGAAGTGGTTAGATAGCCGACTGACAGATATTTTTTATTTTTTATTCTTTTGCTTCGTATTTTGTCATATCATGCTATGTATTAGGTATATCTATTGTTTTTTTTTTTTTTTTAATTGATATGAGAACACAAAAACTCAGTTTACAAAAGACATTTACTAGCGAAGTTGTTTGGGCTTGAATAAAGTTGAGTACATTATCATTATTACATTAGAATGTTGGATAATTCAAAGAGTTTTTGAAATAATTAATTATATTAATCTGAAATCCAAATTTTTTCAATTATCAGGCATGAAAGTTACATAATGATATATTTACTTTACTAGATGCATATCACAGGAAAGATGATTAGTAGAATTTTCAACAGAAATGCTCTGTTACTTCAATACATAATAATTCAGAAAATTGAATGAAAGTTAAAGTAATTATAGTTGTTTGAAAATGATTTGACACCAGTTACGTGACTTTATAATTAGAAGTAGAAGTTTTCACTTATGAAAATCAACCTAATTCACAGTCGACCCAAATATCGCTCGCCTCAAAATATGATTTACTCATTAGAAAGTTGCATTCAAATCTAATAAGCCTTCGATTCACATTCTTCGTTATATTAATATATAATTAAACTATAAATATAGGCCATAATGCAGCATATCAGTAGATTACGTTAAAAGAAAAACATTATGTTATATTGTTAAGTAATTGTCATTTTGTATTTGAAATAATGAATATAATGAAATAAGTTAAAAATAAAATATGATAAAAAAAAATAAATATAAAATAAATATGAAAATATAATCGTAATTTTTTCATTTGTGACATACACATGCAACATTGTGTAATCAAAGTACTTGCAGTGATGTAGTCCAATGATTTTTATTTCAACGAAATAGATTTGAAAACAGTAAACATTAAATAAAAAGTATATACTACAAAAGTACATACACATTTATTATTTGCATATCAATAATTTTATAAAGACCTAAATTAAATAACAATTTCAAATACATTAATTCGTTGAATATTTTGAGAATTTTGTAACTCATAATTATTTGCCTTTGTATTACAAGTCATAAATATTCAAAATATCACTATTTCCATGATAATGCTTACAGTCATTAGTATTTTATATTTTAATATAATATAGCTAATTTCATGCTCTAATTCAAGCTCGTATTTTAATTTATTATTCAAACCAACCTTGAATTGCTTGAAAATACAATAAAATTAGTAACAAGTGAGAATAAAGGGAGATAGAGAGCATTGATGCTTAACGAAAGAGATATGTCAATACAGAATGTAAACTAATTGCCAGAGTGACTGTCTCCTTTAAAGTTATTCCTTGTGTCATTAGTAAAGATTGAAATGTACAGAGGCGGGTTCAAGCTGATTAGAGACACTCCGGACAGCGACGAAGTTAAAACCACCAGGAAGGCAACCTGATCCACCATTTCCGCGTGATGAAGATCATACTTGCCCAGGGTTTATCGCGACACATAAACTAAATGTAGTGCGGAAATAGATACAAGACTTTCGAATATTAATTTTAAATTTATTATATATTCGCTTAGCCACTCGATCTTGCAATGAAATATACTATGTTATGCGCATTTTTCGGAAATCGTCTACATTAGTATTAACTATCCGACACAACTAGATAAATAACAATAAATAATTAATGGTGTTAGCGAAACTAAGCTGACGTGTTAATTGTAACTATTTAGAAATGTCAATAGGTAATGCAGTCTAAGCAAAAAAATTTAAAAAGTCGCCATTTCACAGTTAGTATTGGGATAATTTTTTTTTTTTTGAAATTTATTAACCATTTAGGATACATTGATCCTTAATTGGAAACATTTTTATCAAGTTAATATTAGTAATCTGATTATAATAATATATTAATAATGAGAATTTTATTATTAGCTGAAAACATTTTCAATTGAATAGTTTTAAATGATGTAGTATTTACTTTTAAAGATGCGCTACTATGTAAATGTGTATTATATATAAATTCAGCATAATTTTAACATATTTATATTATGAATTTTTATGAATTAAAATATTTTTGACGTTATACTACTTTTAATATTTAATAGTAAATTTCAGCATTTATCTTATATGAACGAATGATATTCAAGAATGACACACTATACATTACTTTTAGTAAAAATATTTATATTATTTTCAAATTATTACACACACACGCGCACACACACACACACACACAAAACAATAATTATGGTATAATAATGATAATGATAATAATGATATATAATAATGATAATAATAATAATAATAATAATAATAATAATAATAATAATAATAATAATAATAATAATAATCATAATAATAATAATGTTTTACTTTTTTAATGTAAATACTCATGTTATATACTTCCATATTTATTCATTGAATTCATCTGTAGAATTTATATTAGGTTCAATTTTATTTAACAAATATTTTTGAACTTCATATTTAAAAAGAATGTACATTTATCAAAAATTCTGGATGATGAAAACAGGGAAAAGCGAAGAATTTAAAAATTGTGCGATATTGAGAATTCTAACTCGTGAACAACGTGCGATTTACTATAATACAACTACTGAAAAAAAAAGAGTATTTCAAAAATATCACTTATTTTATTTAAACGACTAGGAAATTTTTCGTTACCATATACAATTTCATATTATTACCGGAACCTTAAAAATTTTCAAATAAAATCGAAGTATTGTCAATTACAATCGTTTGTTACAATAAAAATTGATTTATTTTATATTATATTATATTATATTATATCTATAATACTTCAATCAATGTTATTTTATTCTAAGACTAAATGGAATACACAATAATAATATTGAACTATTTATTACTTCACAATTCCAAGAATAATTATGCAAATTTGTTTTGAACATTAGTTGTTCAACCTATTTAATTAAAAGCAATTTCGTAGCATGAACGAATAGAGTCAAATTAATTATATTAGTGTATCGAATATTATATTTATCGGTAAAAGTGAAAATCGAGTTATCATTCGTGATAAGCAATAATGAAGTCTCAGTCGAAAAATCATTGACGACATTGCCCGGAGGGTTCACTTATAAGATCATATCCTGATAATTCGTTCATACTTCACTTAAGGCGTCGAAGAGGAGACGAAGAGACGGATATCAAATTAGAATATTCTTCGTTTCAATAATCATAAACTTCAGTGATTATATAGATCTTGTCAATATGTAGATGATTTACAATAAATTATTATTATTTATTTGCCAATTTCGTCAAATCTTCGGAGTTTATAATTTAATTTTTCTCTTCCATAAATAGAACGATGATGTTCTTGTATTTCTTACCGTTCATTTGATAAATTACATTGATTAAATCACTTGATTAAATAACAAAAATTAAATTTATTAAATTAATTAAAATCGTATGAAAAAGATCAAATTCGTTGATTAAACCAAATTGATATCACAGAAATCCACTCGAACAATTTATAACATACTAGCTTCCCCTGTAAAAAATTAATAATTACAATACTAAAAACCAATCGCGATTAAATGGACGTATGAGTACAATTTAACGGAAACATAATTTGTGAAAGTATTAATATTTATAAGAAATTTATTAATTGGGATAGTATATTAAATAAATATCGTAGATTGCATAATATCGTTAAATTAAAAACAAGCACTGTCGATATAAATTCCAAATCCACGTCAAACAATAAATAGCATAATTGCCTAAGCTTTACTAATATTTTCATGCAAATTAATCGCTAATACCAAAATCAATATAGTGCAATGTACCGGAAAATGTTAAGTCGTGTACAGACGCGTATACGATACGTAGTTTCGAAAATTTAGAGTCAAATTGCAGTGTAGACTCGTGCCAGAAGCTTCGCATTCATTTATGGTTGATAATATTATCGGTATTGGACAATAATGCAGATGCATTTGATATTCGTGTAATTGTGCACAGTCGAATTACATCGTATCGTTCTCTCTCTCCCTCTCTCTCTCTCTCTCTCTCTCTCTCTCTCTCTCTCCCTCCCTCCCTCTCATTCGCTTTCCAGCTTAGTGTCCATTTCTCTCTGTCTTACTCAATGTCTCTCCCAATCTTTCCATCTTTCTCTCTTCTACTCGCATTACCTAATTCGACTTTACTCCCGCTACAATCTCATTATCTGTTTAGCAAACTATCTACCATCGATGGTAACATCGACGCCTACGCAGCCAAGCCCGAGATTTGCGGAAAGCGCGTGTTGCAATTTCGGTTGTGCGTCGAGGAACCTCGATCCTATCCTCCCTGGATTACTTGACGATACGCTTTAATTTAGCCGCTAATTGGAGATTTTACGTAGATAATCGAATGTAAACAATTCTATAAGGGAAAATCAGATGTTTATATCTTTATTTTATTACATTTTATTAAGTGTATTTTCTAATTTTATTATAATTTTTAAAATTCAGGTTGCGTTATGACATAGTGAAATTATAAATTATTATTTATAAAAATATGATTAAAATATTGAAAATTTGTTTTATTAAATTTATTGTAATACAAGTTTTTAGCCGAGTGTAGAACAGAAAATAAGATTATTAATTTCCTAATAATACAACTTTGTCTATATATATATATACATTGACTAAGTATTAAATTATTTTAATTATTTATTTATA